TGCAGTTGCCGTACTGTATTAAAGCTTTAATCAGGATAAAACTATATATTAAAAGCTAACATAAGCAGTAGCATTTGCAAATAACAGCATATCTAAAAGTATGAGACAACAACAAACAAAAAACATAGGCCTACTATTAAAAGCCGTGCTTGCACAGGTTCTGCACGATCCTCTTCAATAATATCCTCTGCTTCTCAATCGAGCTCAAACTGATAAGCGATATTAACGACGCCGCTGTTTACAATACAACCGGAGCACATGCCGCTGAGGTGAGGGGCGGGACATTTAGACGCGCACTAGAGGCGGTTTAGCCAATCACAACACACTGGGCTAGCTAACCAATCAGAGCCCATCGCCTATTTCCAAGGGAGGGGCTTCATAAAAGGAGGAAATGATCACCGCTTTTCTCAGAGAAGGGACAGATCGGTGTGGAATAAAGGTAAATTATGTGAAAAATAATGCGTTTTTTAAAAAACGAAGCATTAACACATGTTAGACTGCACCCCATAAACACAATCAATCCTAGAAAAAAACCACTGAACCACCCCTTTAAAACTGAATGTATTGCATTTTGAAAGGATGTAAACATATATTTAGTTAACTATCACTGCACTGAGAAATAACAATTGGTTGGTTGGTTGGTGTTTTAACACCATTCCAGCTTCCTATTTTCATGGTGAGTAACAAGTTGAACAACTATAAAAGATCCATTTTAAAAACCCATATACAGTTTTTAAAGTTTGCTTTAGATTATAACTCTAAAATGGATTTAATGTTTGAGATGTACAGTAATTACCCATAAGTTCTGTACCTGGCCCCTGGTTTCCACTCTTCTCCTCCACCCAGCTGTAATAGGCTGAGCAGTCTCCATTACTGGGAAGTGTGACGTGTGGCCCAGTGATACTGATGCTCGTCTCTCCGTTCTGATCATCCCAGATCCAGCGGCCTGAGCTGTAGGTGATTCGCCTCGCCTCTGCGAGTTCACTGACGGTGCTGGAGGTCAGAGCAAGGTCATTCTCAGCCTCTGCTGGGTCCCTGCAGGCCAGAAAGACTTCAGATGATGCATTATGCTTTATTCATAATAAAGCATGTTTGCTATTATTAATATGCTCATATTCAAAATCCAGCCAAACAAGATTAGTTCATGCTCATTTATCAATGCCAAGTGATAGTAAGCCAATTACACAAAGAGTATCCCTGGAGCAAGTTAAGTGTCCCAGTCAAAGAGCACATTCATAACAATTATTCAGTATGATTAGGGTGGGCATACCAGGTGGAAAAAACAAAACACACTACCATTAAATTTTGGGGTCAGTAAGAGGTGTTTTTTTTTATGTTTCTGGAAAGAGTCTCTTATGCAAAACAAGCAACAAAAAAGCAATATTACAATTTAAAATAACGGTTTTCTGATTGAATATATATTAAAAATAATAAAATGGAACATTTTAAAATTAATATATTTTAATATATTAAATGTATTTTAAGTCGGTGTTGATGTACAAAACCGTCAAATTATTTGACTTTATTTTTTTTTAAATTCTCCTTACTGTCAATTTTGATCAATTTAATGTGAATAACGAATAAAGCTATTCATTTTTCAAAAAAAAAACTTACTGATCCACCAGATTTTTCTGGTGTTTCATTGGTGATTTAAACAATAAAACTGTACAGAAAATATGTACAAGACACATTTTAGGCTCTATATATCCCCACATTAAGGCTGTTCTACTAAGCAAGCAGCGAAATGATGCTGTCTTACAAGTTAACATGTTTTCACACAAAATCTAAGTTAGTTGATTATTCTAGAATGCATTGCAACAAGCTCAGTTAAAATATTGATCCAAGGCCATGTGTAGTGTATGTTTTTGTGTATTTTTAATGTTCATTAGAATATGTTTATGCTCATCTAAATCTGCTCTGACCTGCTGCCCTGCTTCTCCTCCTGGATGTTGAAGATATGAGTGGTGAGCTCCAGGATGTGCTCTCTCCGCACTTCAGCCACGACCTCCAGCCTCCCCTGCAGCTCTTTGGATCTCTTCTCCAGGAGCTCGCCTAGACGTTGGTTATGGCGCTTAATTTTGTCCCTCTTTTCCTGATGTCGGCTGGCCCTGCGCTGCAGTCGCTGCCCTTCCTCCTGGGAACGCAAAAACAGCTCCTTGCCTAAGGTGAAGAAAAAGAAACAGCCAAGATATCAACCAAAATATTGCTTTTTTTTATTGTTTAACTTTTTCTATTGAAAGAACAATCAAGAAAAACTCACATAGTAGCTCAATGTGAATTATGCATGTTTTCACACTTTTCTCTTGGGATCTTTTTTGTTGCGATACTCACCACTCTTCACTTCTTCATTGCCGGTGCAGATGGCCTCTTTGAGTTGCTGGATTTTCATCTTGCATGACATGATTTTCCACCTCTGTGTTAAACAAAAATACAAAACCATGATTGTGAGAACTTTCTTAAAAACAGGCTTATATAATTTCTCATCTTTTAACTTTAAAATAAAGCCCTTAAATACAAAACATGCACAAAAATACTTACAAGCTGGTCTGCCTGGACCTTCTTGTCCATGGCTTTGATGACTCTGAAACAAAAGGAGAATTCAGACTGGGTATTATCTGTACATAATGTTGATTTATGCATAACACAATGCTGATACAATACCTCTGTTGAAGATTCTCCTTTTCATTTTTGAGCTTTTGTAGTCTTTCAAGCTTTTCTGAATACCTGATGGCAGAAAACAATATAGTGAGTAATACACACTTCACTTGCTATTATATATATATATATAATAACATAATAATTATGATATTGTTACATTTAGCAATATGACTCAGCTAAAGCTAACCAGGTCAACACATTGGCATATCAAAAACTGCCACAAAGTTTCTTTACAAAACTAAAATAAGCCATGACAACACTTTTAATAATGTATTTAAAACCTATTTAAATAACCAATTCACTGACTGACAAGAAAAGAACGAGAACGCAGAAACGTAAACGTCTTTGTTATCTGACAGTTTGTTTACAGAGTTAGCAGTTAGCAACTTAGCATTCGATTCAAGGGCCATGAATTAGCAAAATTATATCTAGCGTGTTCACAAAACGCATATATACGCCGAAAACACTTCAAATCAAGAGGGAACGTATGCTTAAATCAAATAAATATATGTGAAACAGCTTTCGACAAACCTGAAAACTGTTAGCGTGCTAGCGTGAGCTGTGTTAGCATACAGTGTAAATAATAATAATTTAAAAAAAAAGAATTAAAACACACCTCTCTGGATTTCTCCCGTCAAAATACACGAAATCGCCGTTCTGAATGCAGCGGGCGCAGGTCAGTCTGCGTCTGGCCGTGTTGCAGAGCGGACATCTCTCCACGGCTACAAAGAGCCCCTCTGCATCATCCAGAGCCTCCACCATGACCGCGGCAGCAGCGTTCACGCACGCCGGCTGAAGGTGCTGCTGAGGCGGCTGGGGTCGAACGGGCACCCGGGTCTCTGATGCAGACTCTGGATGATCTTCACCAGGCCCCAAAGCCCGGGGTTCGCCTGATAAGGGACAAGCCATGATGACACAGGCTCTATTAAGAATAGAAGTCCCTTAGAAACGGTCACTGTGAGATTTACATGATCTGTGGTAGGAAATATGAAAATATAACCAGTAGCTCTGGTCCTAAGGTCTCTATGCCCAGCTGAGTGCAATGGCTGTCTGCCCTACGCACCATGTGACGTATGTTGTTTGTGTATGTTTTGTCACGTGTGTGGTGGTGGGGTCTCTCACAAAAAATTACCTTGGTAACCATACTTCTAAATGCCATAAAATATCATCAATCAATACCATGAATCTAAATACCATAGTAATACAAGATATTTTGCTATTGTAAAATCAAAATGGTATAGGTCACCTTCGTTTGGTGTACGTTTTCATATATATATATATATATATATATATATATATATATCAAATATCATTATGACATAAATGTTGTTCTCTAATACACATTGGCCACATTTAACGGCACCCTTTTATTCAATGCTTTTTGAAACCTCCATTTGGCATAATAACAGCTCTGAGTTTTCTCCTATAA